GCATCATTATCACCATCCTAATCATCAGCATCAACATCAGCATCAATATCATCATCTTCACCATCATCATCACCAGCATCATCATCATCATCATCATCATAGTCATCATCATCATCATCATCATCATCATCATCAGCAGCATCATCATCATAAGTATCATCCCTTCCCTCCCTGGCCATCCAGCCTGAAATTCCTCGTTTCAGTCCTCCCCGTCCTGCTCCCTCTCCCTCGTGCCTGAAATTCCATCCATCCAATCCCCCTCCAGCTCCCCCTCCTCCTTCCGATCCTGCCGATCCTGCCGATCCTCTCCCACCCCGTCCTTATCGCGCTCCCGATCCCTCCTCCAGCCAATACTGCCTCATCCCCCTCCGCCTCTTCCCCATCTTGGCATTTCTGGCAGAGCCATCCTGACCCTCCTCATCCTGCTCCTCATCAAACTCCTGATCATCCCTCCAGATCACCCTCCTCTGGCTCCTGCTCTTCCTCCTGATCCTTCACCTTGTCTCCATCCTCGACCTCTACTCCTCCCCACATCCAACACTTCCGCTTTCCGTCCTGTCGGCGTAATCCCTGTCCGCCTCATCCTCCTCCTTCTCCTCCTCCTCCTCATCATCATCGTCGGTTTGACAGTGCGCCTTCTTCTCAGCCAACTCCTCCACCTCCTTATCCTGATCATCCTGACCCCCCTCCTCCTCCTTCTCCTCCTCCTCCTCCTCCTCCTCCTCCTCCATTTATCCTCCTCCGTACTACACCGACCTCCTTCTCCTCCTCCTCCTCCGCCTTCTCTGTTGTCCTCCCCGTTGTTTCCCTCCTCCTCCTCCTCCTCGTCGTTCTCCTGATCCCTCTCCCTCCTGCACCTCCTCATCCATTCTCTTTGCTCTCGGTATAGGGAGGATGTACGGCCTTGCGAACACTGGGATACCAATGTTCGATACGTCGCGGGACGCTGCACCATCCCACCATTCCGACCCTCCGCCACTCGCCTCTACCCCTCCATCTCTCTTGATCTCCCCTCTCCCTCTCTCTCACTCACTCTCTCTCTCTCTCTCGCTCCCTCTCATCCGCCATCGCGCCCGAGGCACAAATGGGAGTTTCCTTAAATGCCATCGAGCTCTCTGAGCGTTGAGGGCCACAGCCGAGAGTTCCAGGCGCGTCTGGGCGCTCCTGGGCTCTCTTGGGCACTCTCGGGGGCTCCCCGCGTGACTTGTCGAAAGCCCAAGGGCGCGTTGTTCTGGACATGCATGTCCAGCATGTCAACATGGTTCCAGATGGCTCAGGAGGCCGTCCTGGAGCCCTCTTGGGCGCCTCTTGGGCTGTCTTGGAAGCCCTGGAAGGCGACCCAAGACACCCAAATCGTCAAAGTCCAACGATTTCGTATGGTTTTCGAGTTACCACCTGTTTCTGCCTTCGGAGTGTCCAAGACGGCCCAAGACGCGCCAAAGATCACTCCAAACCGGCCCAAAAGCCCTCAAAAGGTGCCCAAGAGACCTCCAAGACTGCCCCCAGAGAGGCCCAAAGATGGGGAGCACGAACTGACATCTTGAGCCCTCCGCCCAAAGCTGGCCCCAAGATCCCCCCACAAGCCCCCGAGGTGCGCGCACGAGCCCCCAAGATGTCCAAATCGGTACCCAAGAAGCCCCCTAAACGGCCCAATACACTCTCAAAACCGCCTCCAAGAGGCATCCGAGATTCATCCCACGAGATCCCCACAGGCATCCAGGAAGCCTCACGGTGGCGGAATGGGCTGAAGGTCACTAGATCCGCCGCCCCCGTTGGCTTGCCACAGGGGTGCCTGGCGTGCCAGACTTCAGGAAGTTTGTGGTTCTTTTGGGACTCCCCATGGGGCGTCGGCCGATGCCACCAGCCACCCGAAAGGCTGCTTTCGAGGTGGTTGCAAAAGGGTTTTCCTGATCCAGATGGCTCCCAGTTGGCCCAAGATGACCTCCAGGACGGCCAAGATGGCCCCCAAGTTCGCCCAAGATGGTCCAAGAGTGCCTCCAAGACGGCAGTCCAAGACGCCTCCAAGCTAGCCGAAGAAGCCTCACAGACGGCCCAAGAAGGCCCCAAGGGCATCCACGGGAGGTCCTCCAGGAGGGCCTGGGGAGACCCAACAACAACAAAAATGGTTGTTTGATGTTTGACAGGTTTTGGCATTTGCTTCTTTTCGGCCTTCCGACGGCCCTCCGACGGCCCAAGGGGCCCCCAAGATCGCCCAAGAGCGTTCGAGAGGCCTCCAAGATGGCCCCTTTGCTGCCCAAGTGGCCTCCAAAACGGCCCCAAGAGGGCCCATAAGACGTCCTCAGAGGCTTCCAGAACGTGCAAGATGGCCTATAAGACGGCCCTGGAGCGCCCTGACAAGGCTCGAAGGCGGCCCAGAGAAGCGCCCAAGACGGCTTCCGACTGCGTCACACGTGCCAGGAACGCCCGACGACGGCCAAAGAGGCCCCCAGAAGCTCCCAAACGCCCCCAAGAGGCCTGAGGAGGCCTCCAAGAGGCCTCCAAGAGTTTCCCAGGAAACTCCCAGCAGATCCCAAAATGCCCCAATAGGCTCCCGAGAAGCCTCCTCCTTTTTCCTCCCTCTCCTCTTCCTCTTCCTCTTCTTATTATTCTTCTTATTGCGATTGCTGTTATTATTATTATTAGTATTATTATTATTGTTATTATTATTATTATTCTTATTCTTATTACTATTACTACAATTATCCTTCTTCTTCTCATACTTATTCGTATGCTCATTCTTATCATGTTTCTTCTTTCTCCCCCACGTGTTCCCCCAATGGTTTCCACATCGACTGGGGGAATAGATCGTCCGACAACTTGGCCGAGCCATGGACACAACGCTCGACCACAGATTTAGGCCCTACAAAGACCGGGGGCGGCGGTGATTCGCCCTAGGCGTTTTCGTTCCGCCGCCCCCTGTTGGCTTGCCACAAGGGTGCCCGGTGTGAGATACGTTCTGCAAGGTTTTTGACCGGGCTTCGGCACAGCGCGCCCGCCACCCGGAAAGGGTGGTTGCGAAGGTTTTTCCTGCTCCAGAAAGCTCCAAGATGGCCCACGATGGGCGTCGTGGTGCACGAAGGCGATACACCGCGGAGACACAGACTCGGCCCCGCCTCGTAGGACCATCCCGCGAGGAGAAGGAGGACGCAGGCCGTCGCGCCACCAGCACGAGGCATGCCTCGAGCTGGCGGTCCAGTGCATGAAGGGGCTGGGGTCTGCCTCCACAGAAACGAGAGAAGCACCAGCTGCAGGAGGCGGAGGAGGAGGCGGAGGAGGAGGCGGAGGAGGAGGGGGAGACCGACGAGGAAAAGAAGAGGGGGGGGGACCCGCCGCGCGCGCCCCTTCGAGGCCCCCGCCGCGCTCGTGCGCTGCGCGGGCTCCTCGAGCACCGCCTCCACGATGCGCGTGGTGAGCAGGCCGCAGCCGCCGAGCTCGGCCAGGAGCAGCGCCACCATGGACCTCGGCGGCGGGGCGGCAGAGCCTGGACCCCCTCGCGTCGCAGATCAAGCGCGAGGGGACGTTCTGCTTGATTTCCGGCGTGCTCGGCCCCATGGGGGACCTCACCGTGCCCAGCCCCGGACGGTGCAGCACCTGGCCAAGATGAAGAGCAGGACCAGGGGTGTGGGTCGAGACCTTCGGGGGAGAAAGCCAAACGTCGGGGAGAGCATCGGCACCCAAATCCCTGAGGACTTGTTTTCTCGATCCAGGCGCTTTTCCTCGTTGCCGGCCTGCGGGAACCGTTGGTTCTCGGGCCCCCGGACCATGAACAAGTGTTCTGGGACGAAGCGCCACCCCTGAGAAGCAGGTTGTGACCTCCAGGACCGCGCAGTGGAAATATATTGTATCACCAGCTGCCTGGGCAACAACCACCACTCACGCACGGTTGGGCGTGTGGGCGTCAGGCCCACGGATCGGGGGACGCGCCCCCCGAAACGTGCGGCCACTGCCGCATGCGAGTATCGTTTAACCGATCCCCATCCCCAGCGGCGTGGCCTGGGCCCCACTGGCCGATTTGCCCCCCTAGATGGGGATGTAGGCCGTTCCCTTCGGGTTTCGAGGGGTGTATCCCCAACTGGGGTGGTACTTTGGTGGGGGTCTCGAAGGGGATAAGGATGAGGATGTTGGATGACATGATACTGAGCATGGCTAGGCGACGGGGCACGCCCATTTCGAGTGGAAGCGGCACCGCTCGCGGATGGAGCCACCGCCGCGAGAAGACGTGGGAGGGGCCACCTGTCGACGATGTTTAATGAAGGGGCCCTGGGACACACAAATCCGCCGACCCTGTCGGCGTGTGGAAGATGCTTTTCCATTCGTCGTGAACGTCGTCGTCGTCGTCGCCGTCGTCGTCGTCGTCGTCCCCGCCGTTGTCGATGCTCTTCCGTTCGTCGTCGTCGTCGTCGTCGTCGTCGTCGTCGTCGATGCTCTTCCGTTCGTCGTCGTCGTCGTCGTCGTCGTCGTCGTCGTCGTCGTCGTCGCCCTCCCCTCAGGCGCGCCAGCCAAAGCGAAAACAAAGCGAAATCGAGCAACGTCGTAGCTGAGTCGAAGGCAAAGCGAAATTGAGACACGTCGTAGCAGAGTCGAAGGGAAGCCCCCTCCCTTTGATCCCTTCCCCGCCGGAGGGGGGGGGGTCCCGAGGGGGGGTCCCGGGGGGAGGGGTCCCGGGGGGGGTCCCGGGAGGGGGGGGGGGGCAGATACGCATCCCCCCCGGGATGTCCAGGGACCGAGAAAAACCCCAGACGGGCCAAGAGTGCCCCAAGAGGCTTCCAAGACGGCTCCAGAGGGCCCCGAATCGCCGAACCATCGGTCGAAGACGCCAAAGTAGCCTCCAGACGGCCCAAGAGATTGCCAAGACGCTCCAAGAAGTCTCCAAGAGCACTCCCAAGAGGGCACGAAGAGGGAAGAATGAATGATTTTCTTAAAGTTTTTGACAGAATTTGGCGTTCTCGCCGTTTCAACTTGCCGACGCTCCAAGACGGCCCCAGAAGCCCCCAAGATTGCCCCAAGATAGCCCAACAGGCCTCAAGAGAGCCCCAAAATGACCCAAGGGAGCCTCAAGACCGCCCAAGATGCCTCCAAGATGGCCCCAGAGGCTCCCCAAACGGCTCCAACAGGGTGCCCAGACGGGGGGCCCGACGAGCCCCAACACGACCCCCCCCCACACGAGACCCAAAGATACCCCCAAGAGGCCCCCCCCGCCACATTAGAGAACGCATGGGTCGCCCTCCAGGGTCGGCGGCACCGGCCGTAAGGCCTTCGCAATACATCCACACAAATAACAGGATTCCCCCTATGCTCTTAAATGTTTGCTGGGTTTTTGTCTTCCTCCCACATCGCATATTGTCCATACTCTCTGGGGAATGGACGATGAACTATGTCTGTGTGTTTTCTCCCTCCTGACTAATGAGGGCCAGCACAGGCTGCGTGCAATCGGCGGAGCTGAACACGGGGTGAACACATTTCCGGATTGTTCTCCCGCACGTAAACCCTGGTCCACGAGCACAACAGATCACCACAGCCGGGCTGCGCCACCACGCGCTTATGAAGAGCCTTTGGCTTTGAAGCAGTGCCGACCGATGAAGCGCGGAGGAGCAGAAGAGCGAAGAACGAAGACGAAACAAACGAACAACGACGCGAAAGGGGGAGGGTGAACATGTCCTGAAGATCATAGATCCTGAGGATTGTGGCATCCCCTGCACTGCGGCGTCCGGCTCGCGACATCTTCAATCCCCGGATGGGGGAACCACCGTGGACGGTCTCGCTGGAGACGGCCGCTTGTTGGTGGTATCTTCTGCTCCCACCGACTGGAGCACCGCGGGTGTCGAGAAGGACTGGTCCAGACATCCAACGGTTCGAAGAAACGTCGAGGCGGCCGGCTTCTTGCCTTTCTCGGCGACCTGGGGAACCGCCACCCAAAACAAACCAGGATGAAAAGCCGGCCCCAGGAACGGGTCGGGACTTCTGGGACGAAGACCCCCCAACAATTTTCAAAAGCGCCCTCGCCGCCGCCGTCGCCGTGGCCCTCGTCGCCGTTTTGTCTGCGTCGTCGTAAAACCTCCGACGTCGTCCGAGCGTCATCCCTTCAAGACCTATCCCTGACCCCCCTCCCCTGGAGACCTTCCTGGTTCTCCCCGTGGCGGCGCGAACCTTCAAGGAACGCCCGCCACAACCCTCCGAAGCGAAAGAGCCGTCGAGGTCGCCGCCTCTCTCTGTGCACTGACCAGAATCCTCTCACAGCCTACCTCCTCCTCCTCCTCCTCCTCATCTTCTTTTTCTTCTTCTTCTTCTTCTTCTTCCTCCTCCTCCTCCTCCTCCTCCTCCTCCTCCTCTCACAGCCCTCACACTCGGCATGCTTTGCACCGCCGACACCTGCTTGACAGCCCCTTGGGGCCCGCAGCGGACCCCCCAGAAGCCGCCGAAATGGCAGAGCGCATCGGCCGCCCTCGCCGAAAACGCCTCCAGACCCAGTCTGGCGGTGCGTTCAAGCCAGAATGCCAAGGAGGTCAAGGGGAGTGCCCCAGGAAGCCTACAACGACACCACCCCCAAACCTCGAGCCTCTCGATTAGACAAGCGCGTTTCACTACTCGCAAATTCACTCCTCGCAAATGGCCTGGATCCACCGCGGGGTGGTAATATCTATATATATATATATGTATATATATATATGTGTGTGTGTGTGTGTGCTATTTTTAGACATACATAAAATAATACCTGTTGTTTCCTGAGGGGATCCCACGCGAGAGCGCAATTTCTTCATTCATTGTGAGGACATCCCGCGCGAGAGCACGATTTGGGAATACACTGTGAGGAAGTATTTGGCAGGAGCCGCTGTTCCTGTAGCTCGGGGCTCCACAACACAGTTCGGTGGCACCTCGCTTTTCCTTGTAAAACGGCAGTGTTCGAGCCTCAGTAGCAGCACTTAAACTTAAAAGTGCAACGGTTACCAGGGAGGGGGAACAACATCAATCACTATGTATAACAACAGTAGCAACAACAACAGCAACAACAACAACAGCAACAGCAACAGCAACACCAACACCACCACCAACAACAACAACAAGGGAACGCCGGTTTTCTAAGCCCCTTCCAATAGGGTGAGCTCCCCCGTCGCTCCCCACAGGAGGTGCGCCGGGTTTCTGACGCCCCCTCTGGGGAGAGGGGGGGGGCGAACACCGCATCGCACCCCACCAGCCTCCGGCAATAATCAATTTGATTGTCTGGTCCCGTCGACGAGGCTAAGGCGCCTGCAAGCGCCAAACCTCCCAGGCCATGTCGTCCCCACGCAAGCTCGGCATCTACTGCACCCATATGACGGATCCCTACTGAGCACTCCGTAATATAACAAATCCTTACTAAAGGGAACCTTAGTGGGCAATCCCCACTAAGGATCCCTTAGAAAACAATTGCTACTAATGGGGACATGAATCATGAATCCTTATGTGAAGAATCCTCGAATCACAAAAAGGGGATCCTCATACATATCATTTAACAAAGAACCCTTGTTACCAAGTGAACACTACTAAAGGAACCCGCGAAGGAGTACCTTCGTATGTAATTTGTCAAACGGGAACATGAATGAAACATTCCTACTAAGGCTGCGGTAATACCTTTGCTAACGGAACCTTGGGACATACATCCCCACGAAGGAAGCATTCATTAAGAACCTGCGCCAAGGGAACATCCATGGCATCCGTACTAAAGAACCTCGTAACATAATCCTGGGCAAGGGAACCTTCGTAAGGAATTCTCACTGAAGAACCCTTTGGTAAAAAATCTTCCCAAGGGAACGTTCGTAGGGAATCCCTGCCAAGGAGACCTTCTATAAAGGAGCCCCAACTACGGATTCCTTAGTGCGGAAACTCTACTGACTAACCATATGTAAATATTCCTTTCCTGCGGGAGCCTTCATTCAGATCCCTTTTATGGGGAACCCTTTTTTATCAAGGAATCCTCACTCAGGGAACCTGAGAAAATAACCCTTACGAAAGACCAAGTAGTAAGGGATACTTCATCAGGACACCTTGGCCAGAAATCCCGACTAAAGAACCCTTACTGCGGAACCCATGTTCAAGGAACCTTGATAAGGAACCCCCGCTGGACTTACTCCGACGGTGGGACCCCACATGAGAGTATATGTGCGTTGCCCTTCCCTCTTTCCTTTTTGTCCTGGCCGAATCCAACTGTTTCGCCCTCTGTTGCGCCTCCTCCTCACCATCCTTGTCTTCCTCGTGCTCTGTCTCCTCCTCCTGCCCGCCCTCCGTGTATAATTACCCCTCTTCCTCTTCGTCTTCCTCCTCCTCCACCACAACCTCTTCCCCCCCCCCCGATTCCCATCCCGCCTATTCTCCTCATGCCACATGCACGTTTCTTTCCTCTTTGCAAGGGGGTCCATGCCGATGTTCCTCGGCGCCCTCGCCGCCGTGCCCGGCAGGGGCGCTTTCTCCGATGGCAAAATCGC